ACTGTCAAACTGATAATTTGTTGCAGGGTCCATCAAGAATCTCTCTCTTCAAACTCTTCCATCTGATGCATAATAGGTTGCTTCATGTTTAAATCAAACCAATCATCATCCATATCTGTTGATCTCAAGAATTCAGCATTTTAAGTGCTAAAATGCTTCTGATCAATGACTTCCGCATCATTCTTTTGTATCATGTACTTCGTGGCAAGCTCAAAATTAATTTCTAGAGCATTGTGTTGTTCTAAAGCACTTGTAACTTTCGACATAATCGGAACTTTTGCATCATCCAAGAAGAATGCAATGTTTATGTGTCCACAATTAATTATCACACCTGTAGCTATGCGATTCTTGAACGCTGATTGTAAATATTTCCACTGCACACTGAGACTATCTACACTGTTCGATGCACTAGGATCATCTTCGTTGTCACTGTTTTGCCTATCAACATTGTTTGGTGCACTAAGATTATCTGCACTGTTCTGCACACTAGAATGAACTACACTGTTTTTGACACTATTTTGTTCACTACACTGCTGCTGCTCTGGAAGGTGCCGCTGTATTTTTCCTCCGGTCTTCCTCAGTAAACTGGTCAACTTGTCCTGAACACAGAACAAAGTAGCCCAGATAGATTGGCAGGATTGCATCTCCCCTCTTGATAATGACGTCAAAACATACTTTTCCAACGCTTCAAGCGCTTGATTGGTCAACTCCAACCATCTTTGTAGATCCTCATCATCTGCGTCAGCAATCTGTCTCAGGGCTTTTTGCAGCAAATCTGCAGTATACTTTAAGTATTGTACAGACATTGCGCTCTTCGATGTTGACTCTTTAAGTTCTGAACACTGAATACTTTTAATGTCTTCCTGATGCTCCTTATATACAATTTTTTCTCTGAAATTGTAATTTAGTTATAATATAGGAGAGGGGGAAAGCTATTAAATATGGTATTAATAAGAGCATGTATATCTTAATTTATACACAAAATTTTTTTTAAAGGTGATGGGGGGCTCCAAACTTCGCCCCCCATCCTGTGCAGTCTAATCATTATGCTTTAACTGCCCCATTATTCTTTTTTTTTCTTACATATATTTATAATTTTTACAAGGGGGTGAGTTCAACATTGGAAGATGTTGCTTTTTGAGGTTTTCTTTACCTCTTTTTACTTCCCCCTTTTCATTTAACTCTTTTTCTTCGTCGGTTTCATCAAGGATGTAACTTTAATTAGAATGAAAATCAGAAGACGAAGACTCTTCCTTCTTCTCATCCTCATCATCATCATTATTAAAAAGACGACGGCTCACTCGATCGAAAGATGACAGTGGAATGGGGATGGAGTTAATAGGAGCCTCCTCACGAGGCGAAGACAGTGGTGGTGTTTGTGACAATCCCCTTAGGAAAAAATTCCTTCTTTCATAGTATAAGCTTCCTTTCCCAGTCCTCCTCAACGGGGGGGGGGGAGAAGTTGACTTCCCTCGAAAATGATTTTCACAGAATCATCAGAGAAATTTTCTTTACCATCCATTACTCTAAAATCNTGCACTTAAGGCAGTCCTTTTCAAGTCTTTGAGTTAAAATAATTATAATGGAAATAAATATCACAACAGCTACCATAAACTACAAGTGTAAACAATTAAATAGAATAAATGAACTTACAAATTATGTAGAGCAACGTCCACTTAATATTAAATAATATCTTGTGCAGTCCAACCAATATGCTTTAACTCCACCATTGACCTTTTTTTTTTTTTTACATATATTTATACTTTTTACAAGGGGGTGAATTCAACATTGGAAGACGACGATTTTTGGGGTTTTCTTCACCTCCTTCCATTTCCCCCTCTTCATCCAATTCTTCTCCTTCGTCGGTTTCATCAAGGGTGGAGAATGAATTATAAGATGAAGACTCCTTCTCCTCCTCATCATCGTCATTATCAAAAAGACGACGTCTCACTTGATCTAAAGATGACAGTGAAATGAGGGTGGAGTGAATAGGAGCCTCCTGAGGAGGCGAAAATATTGGTGGTGTTTGTGACAATCCTCTTAGGAAAGGGGTGTTAAAAAATTCCTCCTCCCATAGTATAAGCTCCCTCTTCCAGTCCTCCTCAACGGGGGGGGGGGGGGAGAAGTTGACTTCCCTCGAAAATGATTTTCACAGAATCATCAGAGAAATTTTCTTTACCATCCATTACTCTAAAATTGATAAATTTTTTATTAAAATAAAGTAAACACAATTTTAATTAAGAAAAGGTTTAATATAAGTACAATGAAGTTTGAGTGGAGGTGGAGCAAGTGGTAGCCTCCACGAAAGATGGTGGTTGAGGCAGCTCCCTTAGTAACTCCTCCCAGTCCTCCTTAACGGGGGGGAGAAGTTGACTACTCACGAACAATATTTTCACATCATCAGAGAAATTTTCTTTACCCTCCATTACTCTAAAATCGATAAATTTTTCATTAAAAATAAAAAAATTTAATTTCAGAACAAAAGAGTGGGGTATACATACATGATTCTTAACAGCAATCGTAAAGAGTTAAAACTCACGAGAACGACTTGCTCTTGACAAAGCAAAGTGAGGAATGATGCTCCTAGCCGATTCCATGAGGCTTTTATACACATGGAGAGGTGGTGGGAGACAACGAGAGAGAGTGGGAGACTACCAGAGGATGGGGGTAGTCTATTGGTGAGGAGAGGAGTAAGTGCGGAGTGGAAAGGATATAAAGAACTTGAAAGAAGGCGAAGAGCTCAATCGACAGCTAGTCGGCTGAGTGGTTAGACCTACCAGTCCAAGTCTTGAGTCGTGTGCGTCGCGCGCGAGACAACGACTGAATCCTCCATCTTTCTTACCGTATGTAGGTGGTAGGGATAATGATTGGTTGGGGGGTCGAAAAAGTAGGGAAGGAGTGAATATAAAGAGCTTGCTGAAGCTGGCGAGCTCAGTTGACAACGAGCTAGTCAAGAAATCAGACGTACATGATCATGGACTATATCGTTGAAATTCAGGGCTTTAGAAGGTCCAAAAATATTTTCATTCCGAAAGAGCTGGTTATTTTACCACTTAAGGCTGATGCTCAGTCAGAAATTTTTCACTTCAGCCCCCCCATGTAAATGGTTAAGGCTTTCACATGAAGAACGCACTGTTAATGATTGGCTTAAAACATACTTTCACGGGATACCTCGGGACTCAGGAAGTATATTTTTCTCTAGAGTTACTTTCATTGTTCAGTATTTCTTGAAAGACGCCAATATCATTTACGTCAAGGGATTGGAAAAAAAGAGGTGGCTAAAAGAAATACTGTCAGAGAAATAAGTACTTCAAGCAATAATATACAATATTTCGTTTAATATTTACTCTACTATTTTTCAGACACATCTGTAATGCTAAAGATTTGGGCTGTCCCACTATCAGTAAAATAAATAAGGAGTATGAAGCGTGCTTTGCTGATCAGTTATGCACAAAACCTGTTTGTGCTGTCAAAAATGCCTCTGCTCTAAGGGAATGGCTACTCACTATAGGGATACAGTGGATAATGTAAATCACTCTGATGATGATGATTTGTAAAATAAGTATGGTAAAATTTTATAATAAAATTTAAAAAAAGAAAAAAAGAAAGATCAAAGGAGAAGAAAATATATGGTTCTTCTCCACTGGTAGAGGTGGGGTCGGGGCTCCTACCACTTTCTTTGAATATTGAAGATAGATTTTCAATGACTGTGCACGCTTTGAGTCTAACGGAGGCCAGCTGCTTTGATGTCTTGATTCTTTGAAAGATAATTTTTAATGTAAAACATGAACTTATACTAACGAGATCGAGAAATGATTTAAATGCAGTTGTTCAAGGTGCTATTCCTGCTGCAAATGCTAATGAACAACCGACTTGGGAAGAGTTTAAAATATTAATACTGAAGCTCGAATGGCTTATACCCTATGTAGTGATGTCAGATTCTCATAAAATTCGTTTGCTCAATTATTTGCAAAAAGACAAATAGATATCTATGATCTTCCGTACTTGGAATCTCTATGAATATCCACTCTTGCCCACCACATCTAAGCATATCTGGACAGTCAAGACGTCCAATCAGTTGGAAAAGCCACGTTATGTTATACTGGATTTTCAAACAAACCGAAAGAATCAGAGAGCTGCTAGTGCTAGCAAGTTCGATCACTGTAACATAAGAAATGTGAGACTCTATTCCAATTCACAATATTATTGCTATAGTGATCTCAATCTCGATATGACAAACAATCAGTATGCACTGTTGTATGACGTGTATGCTTATTTTCAGAATTTATATCATGGTAAATCCCACGCACCTTTGTTAAACAGATATGATTTTCTGAAAGTCGCGCCTTTGATTGTGATTGATTGCTCCAAGCACAATGACTCACTGAAAAATGCTCCAGTAGATGTGCGTTTGGAATTTGAATCTCACGCTAATTTTCCCACCAATACATCACCCTACTGCCTAATTCTACACGATCGTATTGTTCAATACAGTCCAATAAGTGGAGACGTAGAGAAACTCATTTAAAGCTATAAAAGCTTATGCATAGCTCTGCTAACATCATTTGTCTTCCAACCATCATGGAGAAAGGTCAGCAGAGCAAAGAAAAAGATAATAAATGACGAAAAGAAGAGTAGGCGAAATTTGAGAAGAGACACACAGAGAAATGGGCGGAAAAAAATCAAAGGAGAAAAATAAAAAGTGTGAATTATTTTAAAAAATTTTTTGTCAAACGACATTTATCGACATGTCGCATAAGCCAACTGAAAGCAAATTCACCAATGACGTGAAGTATCAAAAACTTTCTACCAAGGATGATGAAAAAAAATCTTGGTTGAAGAATTTAACAGGAAAGTTTTCAACTAATAAATCATTTATTTTCTCAACGTGAAGGTTATGAGCGATTGTGATTAATGGATTACATATAATGATGGTGTTGGGGGTAAAGCTATAAAGGCTGATGCATAATTCTGCTATCATCATTCATTTATTAACCGTCATGGGGCAAGGTCAGAGCGCAGAGAAGAAAGAGTACGATAGAAAATACAAAGAGCATAAAAAGTTCATTGACAGGTATGTAAAGTGGACTGAACAGAGGAAAAAGAAATCAGAAAAAAGTAATAAAAAATAAAGATTGGGGAGGAAAGTTTAAAAAAATATGATAGTAAGAAGGTTATAAGCAATCAATGGATTACATAGTTGATATACAAGGTTTTAAACAGCCTGTCGATGAATTAGTTCTCAAGGAATTAGCTATACTTCCACTCTATTCTAACGGTGAACCTATAGTGTTTCTCTTCAAAGAGCCATTTTCATGGTAACGACTCTCAGACAAATATAGAAGAGAAAATTTATGGTTGTAACGCTGTTTTCATGGTATACCTTGGGAGTCGGGAAATTTCCCGTACAATACTATAGAAACAATTCTTCGAGAACACCTACAAAATGCAAGAAAAGTGCATGTATTTGGCTCATTGAGAAAACAATGGTTGGAGAGATTTAAATTCAATGTTTATGATATTACAGATTTGGGCTATCCTCCGATTGATAAAATAAAACTAGCCACCGTCTGCCCTCATCATAATAGGGCGTACAAGGCAAACTGTGCACATCATAACGTTAGACTGTACAAAAAGTTTCTCCTACATTTGCCTGAGTCCATGGAATGGATGTAACCATTGCTTTTTAATCAATCTATTTATGACAAGAATTTTTCAATGGACGAACTAAAATATTTGGCTACGCTTCTTTTGGAGAGGTAAGATTCGATGGTTGTACCTCACAGATAAGAGCGTTTGGTTGATGCTCTTATCAAGCGTGCTTCTAAATCATCTTATAGGTGTAAACAGTATAAAAAGCTTGTTTAAGTTGTTTTTAAGTCACTTTTTAGTTATCTTAAAATTAGTCTTTAAGTTATCTTTAAGACATCTACACTTTATGTCGATAAGACAGTGCGGTACCAAACATATCTGTATTAGTATAGTGAGTATTCAATCATCCGATGACACAGTCGGTAGCGTACCCGACTATCACCCCGGGGAGCAAGGTTCAAATCCAAGTGGGGGGAAAATTTTTTATTTTGAAATAAAAATAAAAATAAATTTTAAATCTAAAAATAGTTTTAAAAATTACATTTCAAAACGCGCGCTCATTTAAATACAGTCAGTACAGCAGAGCGCTATCAGGCTGCAATTCGGTAGCCCGACTACTCACATACTATAAATCGATAGATCTCAAGCTAGGCCAACGTGTGGTGGCCTAGTACCTGTATGGGTGGGGTGGCCTAGTACCTGTATGAGTAGGGTGGATCAGTCCCTGCTCTGTTCACCTACTAAAATCCCTCTGTCGATATCTTGTTGAAACGGTTTTGGGAACTTGAGGAACCTAGTAAGGTTGGCTGTACTCCAACACCAGTGGAAGTTGATTGCCATAAGAAGTTCCTCGCAGGTTGGAAACGAGATCAGGATAGTAGATATATCGTCAGGTTACCTTTAAAAAATAACGAGCCCATGGACAGTTTGAAATCCGGTATTTTTAAAACGGCTAATTATATGTTGAAATCTATGGATAGAAAGTTTCAGAAGGATTCTAAGCTACAGTCTGATTATTGTAAGTTCTTGAAAGAATATTTAGACTTAGGTCATATGGAGCTTAGTTGTGAGGAAGAAGCAAAGTGTTTTTTATCTCGTTTCGCCGCTTTAAGAAATGAAAGTTCAACTACGAAGCTTAGAGTAGTATTCAATGGTTCATGCAAGGTTAACTCTAGTGGATCATTGAATGATTTTCTTCACATTAGATCCAACTTATTGTGTAATCTCTTTGACTTAGTTGTACGGTGGCGTAATTATTCCCATGTCTTCATAGCCAACATAGAGAAAATGTTTAGGCAAATAGGAGTTGATGTCCTTAAACAGGTTTTTCAGTCGATTCTCTGGCGTTTTGACCCATCGCAAGATATCCGAGTTTACAAACTCACAACAGTGACTTATGGTTTAGCTTGTTCTCCTTACCTAGCCTGTAGGGTAATCAAACTGTCAGCCAACAATTATCGAGATCAATATCCTAAGGGAGCTAGCGTTCTTGATTCAGAAATTTATATGGATGACGTCTTGTCAGGAGGGCACAGTGCGAATGAAGCTAAAGTTAAACTAGATGAGTTGAATTGTATAACAGAATTGGGGAAAATTCCTTTGAGAAAGTGGTCTTCCAATAGTCCCGACTTATTTGAAAATTTGCCAACTTCGTTCCTTTCAAATCGTCCTGTAGACTTGAAAGACAATAAAGAAATTGCCTCAGTAGTAGGACTGATTTGGGATCCTCATGCAGATAACTTGTGTTTTAACATAAATAGTTGTGAACCGGATATCTCACACACAAAAAGAAGGCTTCTTTCCAAAATCTTAAAGATATACGTCCCTCTAGGTTGGTTATCACCTACTATTATCGTTGTTTAGATGCTTATGGAGTCGTTCTGGTTATATAAATTAGGAAGAGTTAATAAACTCCAAGGGCTTGCTGTTCAGTCTTTTATTCAGTTGACAACGTTTCGACTGCACTTAAGGCAGTCCTTTTCAAGTCTCTGAGTTAAAATAATTATAATGAAAATAAGTATTACAACAGCTACCATAAACTACAAGTGTAAACAATTAAATAGAATAAATGAACTTACAAATTATGTAGAGCAACGTCCACTTAATATTAAATAATATCTACATCTGCTCTAATATAACCGACTGGCTTTTAAGCTGTCTGAATATAATATAAAGTAGGACTAGGTACATGTAAGTAACGACACACATGAATATCGAAAGATTGTATACATGTATAAAACGGCGCGAATTCAAACGCACGATTAAACTCTATTTGTATTTTTAATTATTTTAAACAATGTTTGATATAATATTTAAGTACTGTACTTAAATTATTTGTGTCAGTAATCTTATTTACAGTATTTAACTTAGTGATATATACCATTTCTGATATTAAACGTCTGTAATAACAAATTTCTTGGTCGAGTACTTGTAATGAATCGAAGTCGAAAGTGTGGCCATAATCTCTCATATGTGTATACACTACAGACGAATCTTTCTCGTTTATACAATGGCGTTGATGTTCTTTCGTTCGAGTATCAACAGTTCTACTAGTTTGTCCCACATAATGTTTATCACAATTTTTAAACTTGAAACCATAAACGGAACACACTTTGTCGGTGGTGCCAACGCTATCTTTTCCTAAATTATTTAAAAAATTATATTTACAAACAGATCTGAAAATTACTTTTATATTGAACTTATTAAAACCTTTTCTGAAAATTTTATCACAGTCTTTTATGTATGGTAACACTACAAAATCTTTAGGTAAGAAATTCACATTATCACATATGGTCTCACCCGTAGATTGGAATTTAATTTTTTTCAAACGAACTTTTGTGTATTTAGTAATAAATTCTATCGGATAGTTGTTAGCCTGTAAAATAATAGAAACTTTTTTTAAATTTTGTTTGTGAAAAGATTCATCAGATAATTTAATGGCACGGTCAACTAAGGAAAAGACGACACCTATTTTTTGAGATACAGGTGAATGTGAAAAATAATTCAAATATGAGTTTGCGTGTGTATCTTTTTTAAACCAATTCGTTTTAATGTTACCTGAGCTATCCCAATGTAAAGTTGTATCTAGAAAGTTAATAGAATTGTTCTTGGGTTCTTCTATTGTAAAATTAATGTGATCATCAAATGAGTTTAGAAGTTGTAAAATATCCTTGGTATTATTTTTTGGAACACAAGCTACAATATCATCGACGTAAATTTTAAAGTATGCAATTGGGATGGGGCTTGTAAAAAGTAAATCATTAATTAAATCGTGCATGACTAGTTCTGCCAATATAGGACTGCAAGGCGATCCCATGGCAGAACCAAAAATCTGTCTGTAATATTTATTGTTAAAAACAAAATTATTATTTAGTATAAATTCAATGATCTCCAAGAATACAGTCAATGATAAATTAGTTTCAAGACAACGTCTTTCTATTGCTTGTTTAACTGATTCAAAATGTATATTGTTAAAAAGGGCTACTACATCAAAGCTAACTAGGCAAAAATCATTTGGAACTTGAAACTGAGAAATTTCTTTTGTGAATTCAAAACTATTTTTTATATTAAATTTTGATTGTGGTAAATTTGTCTTTAAAAAATTTGATACCCATTTTGAAATAAAATAAGTTGGTGAATTAATTGCAGATACAATTAGTCTAATCAGCTTAGTTTCTTTATGTATTTCAACTAATCCATAACATCTGGCTTTTTAGAGCAAGACTTTTCAAAGGATTAAATCGTACAGTTTCATAAACATTTTTATTGCTTAGACTATCTTCAACTTTTGTGATATAATCATTCTTATAGTTGCTTGATTCTTACCCTGGGGGTCTCGATGTACGGAGACTGTGATGGAGGAAGGTACGCCGCTGACCAAAGAATATCTCGCCTCGGGTCGTTCCTTGGATAACCAACCGCTCATCGTTATATAGACGGGAACATGTGGGTAAGCGCGTTGGGGACGCGACGACCAAGAAGGTAGCCGTTGTGGATGCCCGTGCCCCTCAGAGCTGTTTTCCCTTGCTTATATTTGTAGCCACAAATTCCCTTACGGCACCAGGTGGGATGGTGGGACTGCCACACAACTCTAAAGAGTTGGTGCAGATTGTGCTCTGGCTAGATATGTCTCCTAGTATTGTGGCAGAGACGGCATCGGTTGGAAGTAATTTTTTTTTTGATCGCATTGGTTGAGATTTAGGGTAAATGGACACCTTGGTCCCTTCCCCCTTAGAGAAGAGTGTCGTCCGTAACCGGGATACCCAACTGCAAGACTGTCATCAGCATTCTTTATACAGCTCGTTGAACTGCCGAAGTTCGACTACATCACTATCGAGACGCTCCGGCCTATTATAACCAAACTTATTTGATTATGTTGCAGTTAGCTTTGATTTTATGTCGATACCACCCAGCGGATTTTACTGAACTAAAGTGAAAATCTGGCGTATTTTTGCAAAACATTGAGCTCATTTATTTCTATTGTTTTTTAATTTTTAAATATAAAAACTATACTAAAACCATCTACGAAGTATTATGAAACATTTCAGCAAAATCGGTTCAGTAGTTTTCGCGGTTAGCGATTACAACAGTTTAAGCGAATTTGCTTTATACGTTAGTACGATATAGTATTCATTAATAGCACAAGCACCTATCACCTAATGACCCAGGGTGCTTACTGGCCACTTTGTAAAATAATAGAATATTAATTAATATCACAAGCGCCTATTACCTAATGACCCGGGGTGCTAACTGGCTACACAATTATATGATAAAATATTAATTATTAACACAATCACCTATCACCTGAGAACCCAGTGCGCTTACTAATGGCTTCTCTATTAAATTATAAAGAATTAATTATTAACACAAGTGCCTATCACCTGATGACCCGGGTTGCTCACTAACCTCCCTATTAAATAATAAAGTATTAATTATTAACACAATTGCCTATCACCTAATGACCCAGGGTGCTTTATTAATTATTAAGTCAAGCGCCTATCACCTGATATCCTGGGGCACTGACTGGTCGCTTTATGAAATAATAAAGTATTACTTAATAGCACAAGCACCTATTACTCGATATCCCAAGGCGCTTACTAGTCGCTTTATTAAATAATAAAGTGTTAATTATAATCACAAGCGCCTATCACCCGATGACTTAGGGTGCTTACTGGCCTTTCTATTAAATAATAAAGTATTAGTTATCAACGCAACCCTCCTGACAAATCTCACCTGAGATCTCATCTTATATCTCACGTGATTTCTCATCTGAGATCTCATGCCAAATTCTCATCTGAGATCTCAGGTCATATTTTGGAAAGAAAAATAAATAAAAAAATTTTGTGCAACAATAATAATTTATACATCAATAGAATGATTACCTAAAATATCAACAGTTATAGGGAAAAAAAAAAAAAATTCGGCTTTTGTGGGATACGAACTCGAGCACCCAGATTAACAG